TGATTAATATGTCCTCTCCTCTTTTTGAAGCTTGGGAATTTTTGGAGGCACTTGGGTAATTGTTAGAAATAATTTTCCATATTTTGATCCAAGTATATCTTTTTGAGGGAAGGCTGTACTGGGTATCTTCCTTATGCATTAATTTGGTATTGTATGGTTTTGTCTTAGTGATGCCTTCGGGCTAGACATCGAAAAAGTCACTCTACGTCATCTTAAGGGCCTGCTTGGACTGAGATATCGCGATCCCTGCTCCAGACACACCTGGTGATTTTCCCTGACTGCTGTGACAAGCATATAAAATTGTTAGGTGACTAGCAGTAGATGTCCCATATTGTGCCAATCTAGCCTAGTTGAAAAGCTTTTCTAAACTCAACTGATCTAAGGTATTCAGTTATGTGATACATATACAAGCCATTGAGAGGCAAACTATGCACGGCCAACAATAAGATCATTATGATATTTTTTTTAATACACAACCAAGTACGTTGTGAAAATTAAACTTACTTCAGAAACTTGGAAGAAAATCTTGAACTAAGAGTTTGATTAATGATTGGTGTGCAAAGACCTAGTCAGCATTGAAACCAATTTCCAGCATTTTATTAAGTTCGGTTGTGAGATGTACAACCTGTACCTTTAAATGTAAGGTCAACTAACCAAATGAAGTTAAAATAACTGAACGTTTATATTGCTTTAGATTGAGAACCTATTTCTTAGTGAGGGAAGCTACTGTTCTATATTTTTCTTAGTTCCCATCAAATGCTTTTAAACAGGTTAGTACAGTGTATGTTACTATCCTGAATAGAAATTACTTTCAACACATTTACCAGTGCCAAAGTATGCTACAGTTATATCTTGCAATTTTTACATTTGATGGGATTAATATGCAAAAAAAAAGCTTACTAAATCTGCACAAAAAAGGAGGAAATTATGTTTGTGACCATGTTTCAGACTTCAATTTTCTCTGTCTCCAAGATACACCATGAGCTGCAATTTTAGTCTGCTTGATGGCTTGATGTTTGTTCTGTCAGTGTTAATTTTCAGTCTTTGCTTGTCTTTGGACTTGGCAATTTTGCCCTGTATTAGGTAACTACCTAATTATTAGCAGATTAGATTACAGTAAGCAGGGGTTTCAAAATGTTTTGAAGTAGGCATCAGATGACAAAAGTAGATGACTGTGAAAAGTTCATTTAGGGCTAAAAAGTAATTGTTTTGACCAATGTGACTGGGAAAATGTTTTTAAGTAGCTGGCAGAACTCTGGCGAGTAAGCCTGAACCTCAGAACATTTTGAGAAAATTAGCTTCCTAATCTACCATGCAATAAACATTGTATTTTTATACTGTTTTCAGGATACAAACCCTACGTCATATCAAGGGATGAAGAACCGGTTGAGATGCAGAATGCATTTGGTGAGGTGATTCCAGTTCCAGGACACTGGCGTGTTTTGTTTGACACAGGCAATGAAGCAGGCACAGGCATATCCAGAGAGCTTCTGTGGGAGTTAAACCTGCAACCTGATCCCAACAAGAAAAAGAAAGCTAAAGTAATAGGAGAGTTACGCCAGTTTGAAACCGTACAAATTGTGCTTGTAATTCGAGGACACAATTTTAAAGTGTGTGCATTGGTTGATGCCGTGGCTGAGGATACTAATCTCCTTGTGGGAATGGATATCATTCAGCAGCTATATGATCTAGGGTATACTATTGGTAACTAACCTATGGTACATTTTAGGAATTTCTAAAATGATGAACGTCCTTTGCAGCAAACTTGCAATCAATGTGAAGGTTGTCTATTGATGCACATGTGCATCAGATCATTTTGCTGAACATGGGATTTTCAATATTTTGTTGTTGTAAGGTCTATTTTTGTCATTTACAGTACATCATACTGAACAGTAGTGATTTTTATTGAGAATTTATTTTTTGTACAGTGTCAACCATCATATCGATGTAAAATGTATTGCACATTTGGGAAATGGAATCAAATTCCAAGAATTTTAAAGAACTTATGTTCTGATGATAGTTATAGTTTTATAATTAGGCTTTTAAAACTCTTTTGTTGAGGGTTTGAATCAAACAGGCATGATTCCTGGCTTATAAAACCCAATCAGGAATAGGTTTTGGGAACCATACATTCAAGTAATTATTTCTATGCTGTCTTACCATCTTACTTCAGAACCGATTCTTTGGGTGTTATGCATTCTGCATTATGTCATATATATAATACCTATCATGCTTGTTGTCATCGTTGTTGTCGTCATCATTGCGGTTGTGTGAGGAGGGAGGGAGGGGGGTGTTTGAAGGCTGGACCAGACATCCGCTCCCCAATGAAAGTGATACATCTCTTGTGGTCCTGTGGTCTTGTGGTCCTGTGGTCCTGTGGCCTTTCCAAGTGTAGTGATTGCCGCATGATCACGGCCTGTTTAGGCAGGCGAGAGGTCACTTACATGTGGCTGAGTGTTCCCATTCCATCCCTGTTATTGCATCATCATTATTAGGATTATTCACTCTTACCCATCATTATCATCATTATTTACAGCATATTATTGTTATCATCATTACAGGGTTGATGTTAAATTATTAAAAATGACATAATGGACTCAAGCTATCACTGCTTTACCTTGAAAGTTCCAGCCACTCCTTCCTTTCAAGAAAATAACATTTCCCAGAAAAAAAAAAACGGTCACACAGCTTGTAGTTAGGGCTGCGTAGCATTACAGGCATTTTTATTTTGGCTTGAAAAAATCGGCTGGAAAATCAAATTACTTCAGACCGGAAACAAAAATAGATTGAGTTTATACGGTCGCACTTCAACAGGTGAAAATGCAAGCGTCAATCACACGGGAAATTTGAGCGATGAAATTGTGTTCAGTCACGACACTTGCCATACGGCCGAACAGGGTAGCAGTGACTCAGATTTTCTTTGTTCGGTGCTCACAACAGGCCAAATTGGGGGTGTGTTGCCCAGGTCCTGAAGGAAGGAATACTACCTACTTCTTGGCATTTGATGGCCATTGTAAGGAAAGGGAAAATCTCGCCTGTCCATACTGTAGCTTCGAACTGCACGCAATATAAACGTCAGTGTGAATGATGAAATTTCGCGCTCTTTTTCACGTTCGTGACCTTG